TTCTCTGATACACTTGGGTTAGTGTAGGGACTCTCCCTTGTTAGCATGGACCAGTACAGTACCTTTCCCCCTCCCCATCACCCCATTCAGATGTGAGACTAGCTCATTGTTCTTCCAGTTAACTTGGGACAGTTCTGGGACATTTTCCTGATCTCATGATGCAACCCTAAGTTGTTTCCCACAATCTCATGGCACAGTACTGTGCTGGTGTGATAGTAATGGGATGTACTTTTCTAGCAGGGTAATTTGTGGCACGCAAACTGGAGCTAATCAAAGACTTTGTTGTTTTCTTACAGTTAAAACAATAGGAAGTGAGCTCAGAAAATCAAAAGAGAGAACAGAAATGTCTCAGAGCTCCGGTAAGTGTTGCTGAGCATCCCTCTCTGGAGTTACAGGGCTGGAGGAAAAAGGAGGCCATTGGTCATGAGGACATTCAGCACTGACCTCACAGAATCCCTTCTCATACACCACAGAGAAGGTGGGAGAAATAGTGGTGGGAATATGAATGGTAGGAATGTGTGTAAAGGCCTATGTCATCCTGCCATCCTCTGAAAACAATAACACCATTTCATAATATTTATTAATGATCCCAGGTCTACAGCCATTAAAATCAGGGGACAAACTCATCTTCATTAGAGAGTCACAGTCACACTACTGACACATATTTCAAATGGACATGTTTTCCCATGAGCAGAAAATTACATCTCAAATTCGTATAGTTTGCGTGCAGGTGACATGTATTCAAGCACAGCACTATTCTGAACTTTAGTATCTTATGTCCTGATGCTGAACATACTGAGAAGCTGCTGCTTCCATTGGTTTCAATGGAAAACAGATAAAATAAGCCAGTTTGCAAATCAGGCCACTGTTGTTGCAGATTTATTTTCCTTTTTTATGGAAAAAAATTACTAGATGCAGATGAGCAGAGAGTTCCAGCCAAAGAAATGATGAAACTTTGGAGAAAAAAGTATCCTGGAACATATGCCCATCTGTTCTATTTTCCATTTAAATTCCTTGTTCACATGGGTGAGAGTGGGATGTTTCAATGTACTCATTTGTAATACCATTCTTGTTAGAATTCTAGTCTTCTATTGGCAGCTCCTGTCCCAGTGTTGAGTTAATATTATTCTTTGAACATTTCTTACAGCGATAACCTTAAAAAAAATATTCCCAGCATCAGGAGAGAGGAAAA